AGCAGCAAACCTAGGAAGGAAAACCGTCCTGCGAGTTTTAGGGTTGGTTGGAGGGTGGGACCGTTGTCGTTGAACACGGGTTGTTACCCCAAAAAGTGGAACTGGACATTTCTGGGTGTTTATAACCTGTTCCTTGATCCTTTTGCTTCCTGTTCAACGTGTCCGTGTGTGTATATTCGCCCCGACACCGCGGTTCGTTGACGTACTCCACGAACGACGTTCCGTTCTTCCGGAGTGGCTCGTTGGGTGGTGTGGCTCGTCCCATCCAGGGCCGAGGAGCCATGGAAGAATGGGCACCCCACCCGGCACCCTCCATGGATAGGACCCAGTTCCCTGCATGGAACTGCTGGTTTGGGAATTTTTCGGATGGCCAGTTTGACCCTGGCCAGAACTAAATCCTGGAGTTCCATTCTACTTTCGAAACAGATGATTCGTAGGGAATGGAGGGAGTTGAGGACTTCACATTTCCGGAGGACTCACGTTCTTTTTTTGTGCTATGTGTGAAGGACAGATTTCTTCAATCTAACGACCGGCTTTTGGATTTTTTTGGTCCTTGATGATGGATATCTTCCAGGGCACTGATGTGGCAGCAAGGGTATGACATACTTTTGCCCTCGTACAGTTCCAGAACAAATGTTTCAATCAGTTCCTGAATCTTTGCACCATTTGTCTCCTCTCTACCGAAGACGGCTTATGTGAGGCTCTCGGCCGAAGACGGCTGTTCTACCAACAAGGGTCGAAACTCGCGCAGGCGAAGGCACAAGTCTATCCCGAAGCAAAGGCAAATGACATCTTCAAAACATGCCCAAAGAAGCTTGCTAGAGCACAAGTCGAAACCGCTGCCATTAGCTGCTACTAGCTGTGAGAGGTCATCCTGCTGTGAGAGGTCGTCTTCCACCGATTTGAAAAACACCCCGCCGGAAACGCTGCGCTTTGATAGAAAGGCGCCCATCTTGGGCACCACCCAATCAATGATGTAAGACTTTAAATAGAAATTAGCTGCTTCAGCGCGTTTACTTAAGCACTTTGCCTTGGAATACGCCAGCGATGAGTTTTTTTATTTTATATCATACAAAAGATATATATATAATATAATGTATATATACAAAATATATTTACACCCTGCGGGTTGTTCCGCCGGCCTTTTCAGCCAATGGTCCCAAGATGCGGATTACCTTTTGCGTCAAGAGGAAAGACTGCAACAGAGCAGAAAAAGTAACAGCATCATCCAGAACACAGCGGGAGCAACAGAGGAGCCTACATGAAATGACGTGCATTATGATACAATAAGAGAACAGGGAGATGAAATTGGGGGATGCAAAATATAGCCTGCCAAGCAAGAAGGCAAATTATATGGCATGTGAAACAATGAGCGAAGTAGACCGTGCGAAGCAGCAAACGTACATAGCATTCCGTGAGACATGATACAAGAGAGTAATGAGGACATGTGTGGCATGGGGATTTCCAAGCAGTCTGAGTCTGCAAAAAACGATAGATACGTGAGTGCAGGTGCAAAGCCTGAGAAAAACGCATGCAAAGCAGAAGCGCAATGCATGGACAACGACAAGAGAAGAACGACGATAAGAAGGAAGCGCACACAACCTTTCACTTTAGCTATGATATATGTGAGCTACATACATTCGGGATGTTCTTGGGGGGGAGGGGGGGGGAAGGGGGGGGTCAAGTTAGACGAGGCAAAAACTTGCTCCAGAGACACAGCTACATACAAGCCACATTGATAAAGCACGCCGGCGCCCAAGGGCCGGCGGATTTTACTGCAAAGGACATGTATAATATACAGACATTTGCTTCAGGACAATCTATCTTCTATCTTTCTATCTGTCTGTCTGTCTTTCTTTCTTTCACATAGACCAAAGAAAGACCACACATCACCCGGATCCGGATCCACTTGTTTGCTCGTCTCGTCCCCTCGCACCGCAGGACGACCGCCACCGGAGCCGGGCCGAAGTGCCGCTGCTCCCCCGCCGCCGCCTGCGAAGCGGGGGGGGAACGGGTGGGAGGAGGGTGGAGATGCGAGACGAGGGAGCAGGTTGAGCATCGTTTTTCATTCTGGGGGAAGCAAGTTGGCTTTGAGTTTTCACCTTAGGTAGCGCGGAGAGGCCTCTGAGAGGCCTCTCAAAAAAAAGAACAGGTCATGGAGTCACCCGATGTTCGGCCTGGCAGCCAAAGTCAAATGTGTTTGGAACTTCTAACATGGCAGTATAGTGCCTTCTGGTGCCTTCTTTCCGTCCCGAGCTCGTTCCTTTCCCATCCAAAAACGGTCCAGGCCAGCCGCGAGCAGCACGACATCAACTGCCTGGTTTCCGGTGCCTCGAAACGGTGCACCGGGACGGACCGGGTGTTGAGCAGAGGGCTCGGGCAGTGAGGCACCGGGGTGGCACCTGTTGGCCGGCAGCATTTGCCATCACATGCTTTCCGGCACTGTGAAACTGGGAGTTGAACGAAGGAACATCGACTGGGAGAGGCCATTGACCTTCGAAATGGTGAAACGATGGTCGAGCAAAAGAACCGGTGTCATCAGGAGGTGACTGGATCACCTTATATTAGCGACTTCTTTTCTTCCAGAGACGAAGCAAGGACCGCTTCTGGGCATAGCAGGCTGAAGAACCAGACAGATGGACCTGTTCTTCCCAAAGGGCACAGACAGAATTTGCGCACGATCTAACCACATCATGTACATGTAGATATCTGCCACAGCTGTAACACAAATATGATATACATCATACATCTTCTCCGCATCTGAAACAAAATCGCGGTGATGTAGCTGCTCCCTTGATGTTTCTTCTGATTTTTCATGATCTAACTAGTTCTATTTGAGTGTGTAGATCGACCATCCCCCGGCAGCGCCCGCCTGGGAGGTTTGGGGTTCATAGACCACCCAGCCAGGCGGTTGGGGTTCATAGACCACCCAGCCAGGCGGTCTCCCCAATGCAAATACAGACCCATTGGTATAGCATCACATGGGTCTGTGACACTTGTGCCGCTCTGCAGCTTTGTCGTTCGACCATCCCAGCCAAAAAACTTCACTGAGGACTCAGTGAATGGCAAGGCACGGACTCAGTGCTTACTGATCAAACGAAGCCAAGAGCTGCCAGGATCGTTTTTTTGGCTGCTTGTAGAGATGGAGAGGAGGGTATGAAGGTCTACACATATCTACACATGGATCCTGAAGATCACCGAGAAAGGGACAGTGTTTTGAACCTCTTCCGGGGCGGCTTCGACAGGTTTTCTCTCCCACGCCGTTGATGTTCCTTCTACGACTTAAATCGACTGTGGGTTCATTGTAGCCACGAGTCACTTGTTGATTTAACATTTGGCTATCCCAAGTGGAGGCTTGAACAATCCTTTTGATGCTTGTATGAGGGCCCCTCTTGGCTCATTTAGCCTGTAAAGGGGAAACGACCATGACCAATATAAGTAAAAAACAAAATAGATAACTAAATATATATATATATGTATATGTTATAGAGGTTCTTAATGGTTCTTATCAACCTTAGACTAGATTTTGTCCATTGTGTCATATTATAGTGTTCATTGGGTAGGGAGGCTGCTGTCACCACGGAGAGCTAGCTTTGCCATGATCTTTTGAATCATGACTTCAAACCCTCATCCTCCGGCTGTACCCATAAAAAAGGAGCATTCCCATCTTTGTCACGCGTCGCTTGAGCAGTGTGCGTGTGTGCGTGCAAGACATGGCAACCAACACATGAAATGGTGTGCATCCGCGCTGTGCCATGCAGATGCATGTATCCGTTTCTCACACAAACGCAGTGGCACCCACACACACACACACCTATGAGTGTGCAAAATCTATGAGGCATGAATGTAGCTGTGCCTCCGTAGGGTGACTTCTTGCCTGCCTTGTGCCAAGCGGTGGGGTGACTTCCTGTTGTGTGGGGTGCGAAAGTCGGTCGAAGGCTTGTACCTGGCTTGATCGGCGCATGTCCCCATCGGCGTAAGGTCCTTGCAAACCGACATACGACTCTCTTCATACCCTTCCAACACGCCCGCCCTGTAAATTGATCCATCAAACAAAAAGAAGCTTAATTTGTTGCGAGAAATCTCCCACGAAGTCCTCGCAACAGGTCTTTGGTGCCGCGCCTCCTTTGAAAACCCACCGGTTCTGCAAGCCAGACGGGTCCACACCCACCCGCCATTTTGGACTCACACCGGTCTTCGGCTGGCTCCGGCTGGGTCGCTTCGGTCTTCGCGACTGACGCGTTCGGTCAGTCCACTGGAGCGATCCGTCGCTGTTTTCACCGGCGAACGCAGGGAAATGAGCTGCTCATAGCTGCTCCATATGTGGTTGTCGATCTAAAGGTCCTAGTAGGTAGCGTTGTTGACGATGACCCTGGAACCCATGTATTCTTTTGGGGGAGTTGCTCCGTGGCGTCGGCAGGTGGTGTCCAAGGAAGTCCTCACACAGTCCATCGAGCATGTGGCCCACACGGTGGAACCGTGGGTTCCAGAGGACCGACGAGGGAGGACGAGCGGGTGAGGACGAGCGGATGGGGTGAGTGAAACGTGAGATCAAACGAACGAAACGAGAGATCGTCCACGCGCAACGTGGAGTTTGGACGGGGGCCCATGATGGGGGTGAAGAAGCGTAGCTGTAGAGTTCAGGAAGTCCATAAAAAACAAGAACTTGGAATTGGCTTTAACCTGTTTTTAACGGGAACCCTTCGGCGAAAAGAAGAACGGGACCCAAAAATTGCCAAGAACACCAGGTGTTGAGTCGTAAAATCACCATCGATGTAAAAAGAACCAACTCTCCAGACCCGCGTTTTGAGACCTCATTTTCGGGCTTCGGAGCCAACGGATGCCACCCTTCCACGAGTTCGGTCTTCGTTGAGCCGTTGGAGCTGGAGACCTCACCACCCCAGGGGCCTTTGCCTTGACCCGGAGCCGTTGGGCGCAGCGAACTCGGTGCGCCGCAGGACTACGTAGGGCAACAGCTTCTACAAGAAGCGGTGCGAAACCACGGGCGAGTAGATTTGATGGACGCTGGGGCTGGGTGAAATCGGCCTTGTTGCGAAGCTTGCGAATCGTTCGGCCGTTCGGCCTATGATGACACCATGTTGGTATCGAGGCCATAGCAATCGCCATCATATTGAGTGACGATATGGGACCATCCCAATCCGTCCATTCCGTCCCATGTGCCGGTTTGGTCCTGTGCAATCGCTTCGCAGCACCGGACACGGGCTCCGTGGGATGGGCATAGGAGAATCAGGCCTGGAGTGGATGATTTCAGGGGTCTTTCTGGGGCGGCCTTTATTCATATTCCTTTGGTCGTGTCTGGGGTATACAGCCTGGTAACTTGTGCTGGTCATCCAAAGTAACTAGCGCGATGAACTCCCACAGTCTGGTTCGTGATGCCCAAACGGTACAGCTTCGTCTCAGTTCCCCAACGTATGATGGGTGTCGTGGTGCTCCCGTGGAGCACTTGAGTCCCAGTGCTGTGGCTGAAACATCCCAAGAAAGGCGACGGTCGGAGCGAAACCAACCAATGAAATGACTGGTTGCAGCCGATTAGCCAGGCAACTATAACTTCTCTACATATGACTCATATATGACACCTTCCAGTCTTCGCTTAGAGTCTATGCTTGACAAAGGCTTTGCTCATTATGATCACATCCTCAATATCAAATACACTGTTCTTTTAAAGAAGGAATCCGTTTGAACACTTCGTGGAACCCAGTTCGGTGATCACGCGACGTTGGAACAATTATATGGTCCTTTTTGCGCCCTCACGGTTATGGATGTTATGGTCCTTTCGCCCCAACACGCAAGCACCACAGATACTTGCTGCACCCACTAGATCTGAGTCAGGTTCTACAAAGAAGAACTAGCATCAACTATACAGGACTCACCATGATCACCCAGCAGAATGACAAACACTGCCTGCTTGTTGACCACGTTTGGACGTGTGCGATACCAAGGAAAAGAAGAATGGTGAGAAGCTTGCGGTGAAACGAATGCCGAACAGGTGGGTACGAGCGGCTTGGCTAGACCGAACGACGCACGTCCGTTCCGCCCTGAAGGGAGAATTAATTTCCCCATCCAGAATCCGTTACCCCATGTTACCCCTGGGGTGGGTTTCCTTTGTCCGCTCCGTTCCGAGTTCTCCAAGACCACTCCTGCTCCTCCCTCTGAAACCCTTCAGCCTCACTAAAACCCATGAACGAACTATAAACCTGGTGGGCATGTGGAAATCAAGCTGATGAGCCTCCAGGCGTGGCTTTTCTGCATCCTACGGTGTGTGACGTTTGCCGACGAGACACACCACTCGTGCGCCCCCGCGACCGCCGCGACCCAGGAGGGGCCCACGGAATTCAACGAACAGTATCCCACCGCCTCGGAGCGGCCGTGGGTGGATATCGGCCTGGTGAGGCCGGGTGGGGGCGACGGGTGGAGGGAGGGATGGATCCACGGAAGGACGAATTTCAGCGGCTTGAATGCGTGGATGATCGGTGGATTCTGGAACTTAAATGGTTTTTGGGGTTTCTGGAAAGCTGTCCTTTTGGGAGAAGATTGGCTTTGGAGGCTTTGGATGGGCTTTGGTTTGAAGCCAAGGATTTGGAATCCCTGTTCCTCTTGGGTACAACTTCCAATGACGCGTGAAGCGAACGGGTCCCGGGCTTCTACGCTCGCGTACCGGTGGCCGGTCGCGGACCGAATGCGGTGGCCGGGTCAGTCAACCGGATCATCCTGTCTGGATGTCCTGGCTAGACTGCCCTACCCTACGTAAACAGGTCTCCAGACAGGGCCCCCGTTGGAAGTGCTAGGTATGTGTTTCTTCCTCTCTTTTTGTCCACCAAGAGCGAAGCTTAGGGGTCTTCCATAGATATATAAAGACCTCAGGAACCTTCCTGCGCTGTTGGGGATCTTTCTGGGGCTCTTGGGTATCTCTTGGGTGGGTGTTTTTTCATGCCGCGATGATGGTGGGACGAATCCATGATTATCCATGGTAGCACGGTGGATAGGATGGCATGGTCCCCGGTGCTACTAGGGGCTCCTGGCCTTACTACTAGGAGCAGGGACTTGGATGACGAGGAACATCAGGTTTGACCAGTCCCGGTGCCATGTAGCGCTGGGATGGCACGGCTCTCGCCCGGTTGGTCTCGGCTCTCGTGCACAGCTCTCGTCCGGTCGGTCTGAATATGGCCGGCAGCGAACGAGACGAATGTCCAGTTGGATACGATTTCTTTAGGAGTTTTCAATCCACAGCCCTGTCCATTGAAGGAAGCTGGGACAAAGAAAAAGGGATTTTATTTGTATATTTTCTTATATCTATATCTTCACATAAGAATTCGTTTGCTCCGACTCGGAACATGCCAGGTATTTAAACTCGATCCGATACCCCTACGCGCCTTGGCTGACTTTGCGTGTGAGTTGGGCATTGTTTCTTTGATGATGGTTCTGGAAGTGATGGATGGTGTTTGGGAACTACCACATCTACCTCATGGATAAGGAGAATCCAGAATCTCCAAAAGAACACACCAACTCTATCCAACTCTGCATCTTGGATCGGGTGCTGGCTGATGGTTGTTTTCTTTTATGACGGACTTTCCATCCGCTTTCTAAGAAGAGACTCTCCACATTCTCCGTTTTGCCTCGCTTCACCACCTCCCTACCTTCCCCGGTCCTCACCTTCGGGCGGTCCTCGGTCTCGGTGAGGTTTGCACCTTGATCGGCGTCTTTCGGGATGATGAGACCACCTACGTGGCCTCCACTTTGGCGACCCAAGGACGTGGGGAGAAAGAGGAAGGAACACGGCACTGGAACGCGGAAGACCGAGCGGAGCGGTGAAGAGAACGGGAGTTGAAGTGAAGAGGATGGTCGCTTTTCAGAGAGGAGGGTAAGATGTAGAGGAACTTGAGTCACTTGAGAGGAAGCGTCAATCAGTGATCCGATTCTGGCTGAAATGACAGAGCCGCTCTTGACTGAAGGGCCCACACGTGTGTCTCAGGCTGGTGAACGATTTGAACATCGATATGACATGATATGACACTATCTCTATACAGGGCTGCTTGGGAGGCTCCCAGAATGGATGAGGGAACACCAGGAATTGGTGAATCACGCTGAACAGAATTTTCTGGGAGAGCGCCGTCCCATTCCGGCAGCAGTGAGTCCGAGTACACCGCATGCCGAGTCCACGTGATGAAGTGCACTTAAAAACTGTGATGACTGCAATGGAATCATACTGGTAGCGGTCATAGCGTTTTATTCATATGCTCAACTGATCTCAACTGCTCCAAAGCCTGGCAAATGATAGGGGGCTCATAAAAGCACGACACTAGATACCTCGTAACAAAGTTCCAAAGCATTTGGACACGCAGTCGGGAGACTCAGCAATTTGACCATGCAGACAGGCCGCACATGAATCCGTTTTGACCATGCCCAGCACCACGGAAAGGGTGTCCATTAATAGCCCCTTAGAGGTCATTCGGGGTGTCCATTATATAACCATCCCGACTGGGGGTCCAGGACCTCAGCTATCTCCGTTATTGGTACCGAAGTGAAGAATGGTGACATCTCACCGGTGGGTCGACGCCACCCGCTCCATCCAACAAAGGTGCTTCAGAACCTGACTGTTCGACTAATCCCACAGGTCGGTAGGTACCCCAGCAGGATGGGCGGGTCCTTGTTCAGGTCACTTCATCGCTCCTGTCTCCCGTCTCCAGGAGACCTCTTCTCTTGGTGCGACGCAGACCCCGGCCCGGGCGGCGCGCGCGAGAACGTGATGTTGCCCATCGTTGGGCAGATCTTCGTGGCCGTTAGGCGCGGATGGGGAGCTGGACAGCGGGCCACGCGGGCAGGCTTGGAGGATTTCGAAGGATGAAAGGGGGGTGAAAGGCGGAATTGGGGTGCAGAGACGGATTTGGAGGGTTTTTTGGGGTGATGGTCTGCTTCATTTCCAGTACTGTGGTGAATGCAGTTGATATTTTACAACATGGAGTTTGTGTGCAATTGGTTGGCACAGATTTTCTTCAGAACATTTCATGAGATGAATGGGGACTTGGGAACGCTGAAGAGTGACTCCTTGAAAGAAACGAACACATGTGCTTTTCAATAGCGCCTGGTGTTTTCTCAAGATTCTCAACCCCAGAGACTACATAAGACTGGCATATATACCCTACATTGGGGTGGTTGACCTGGGGTCAATGGGGAATGGGGCTATGATATATCCCAGTTGGACTGAATCGCCGACCTTCGATGCCTTTCGACCGTCGACCGGTCGGTCGGAGGGAGTGAACGACAGATGGTTTGGTCTACAAGAATTGTACAGATCTCAAAAGACTCCCGGGTCCCGATGTGTAGGATGGAACGATATCGATACATTGACCCCTTTTAAGCCTTCACCTCAAGGCTTTGAACGGGAGATGCGATTGGACTCGAGGTCGAAATAGTTCACTGGAAGTCCTACTCTGAACAGATTCAGACAAAGTCTTCTGCAATAAATCCATGGTAAAAGGACCATCCATGTGGTCGTTGGTCGTTCAAATAACAGCAATCTTCGTGAAGTCATTTCAGACACATGAGGGGCGCCAAAGCGCCGGCTAGGCGGGGGCGTCTTTCACGTCGCGTCTGCTTAGGTGGCTTCATGATTTGGGCGTGGCACATCGTGATCTATCACTTGAGAACATCCTTCTGACTCAAGAGTCAGGCCGCCGACCGCCTCGGCGAGTTAGTCTTTTCGTGGGCAGGGTGTGAAACGTGGACGTTGGCTCCTACCTTTGCAGCAATTGCTGACCAGGACTCGAATCATTTGTCGCTTTTGCGGGGACTCCTGTAGCCGGCACTGTGCTCAGCCGATGTTTGGCATATTTTTTTGGCCGATCAGCACTGAGAAGATCCAAGAGAAGAGTGAACTTCAACGGTCCAGCACTGGAGTTCTGGGCTGAAACGACCAAGGAAACAGAACCTTGTTTTTTTAAACCAAAACCAAAACACATGGTAGGAGGGCCTCCTCCAGCTGTTACAATCTTCGATTGCCCTTTTTGGCTCTTTTCTTCAGAGAATGTTTTGGCCGCCCGCTTCCGGAGATGGCATGGCTAACAGCATGGCTCACAGCTTATGGGTTGGGCATTTCGACCATGAGTTTCAGAACACGCACCAGTCAGCGCGTACGAACGTTCAGTTCACCTCCATGAACGCTGGAGGATGGCCGAAGAACACCACCCCATTCATGTTTCTTCTCGTTCGCGGGTATTGGTCACCACCCCTGCGGGTATTTTGGGAAATTTCATTCGCAGATGCAGTGGACAATGGGTGTTAAGAGTCTCCATCGCTCACGTCTCTTTGATGGAGGAATGCGTTTTTCGACGGGTGGATCCATTTCCGCCTACTTCAGCTCGATGCCAGGTTCTCAACATGTGAAGCTGATCGATTTTGGGATGTGCACTGTGAACAGGAGTGATCCGGGGAGGTGTCTGATCGTCTGGAAGGGATCGAACCGGTTCCGGTGTATAAACAGACCTCGACGTATACTAACCTCGATTCATCCGAAATGAACAAGACATGCTGTCAACATTTGCAATCCCTATTTGGCCCTATTTCTTATATATATATAACAAGTGCATCGCTACTAGTAACTACGGAGCTAAGGAGGGAGCTAAGAATTCCTTAAATTCCGTAAGTATTCTCTGACTAGCTGGTGGTTGGGAGGGAGCTAAGGAGCTGGGGGTATTATTCCCTTTTAGACAGGGAGCCTGGGAGCTACTGAACCTGTATTTCCCAGACACTTGCTAGTAGAGCATTGGGATACAGTACAGGCCGGGGTTGGAGCCACATCCATTGGACTATCCAGTTTTCGGAAGGAAAACGAAATGCTCTCGAAATGAGGCGGTGGAGCCTGGCCCAAGCCTTGGACTCATTTGTTAACCTAATAGCAATGGCCTCCAACCTGATAGCTTCCAACCTACTATATAGCAAGGGCCTCCAACCTACTAGGACCTAACCAATGGCTTGGGATCTGTTCGCAAATCCTATGACCAGCTTTGGATGGCTGTCGAACTTTAGATTGCAAACATTTCTAATGTGCCTACCTTGACCCCTTTTCAATCCTTTTCAACCACCGCCGATGTAGGTAAATGGGCCATGGATGGATTTTTCTGGGTGCTGTTGAGAACTGTCTCAATAGGAAATCAATCTTTTTGAGGAGGGTCTTAAAGGGCCGGGATGTCTCTCCGGGTGTCAGACTGGATAATTGATGATCATTGCAAGTATTTGCAGGTCTTGGTCAATCAACAGAATGCTAGATCTTGGAGGGAGAATTCGACCTGGACTCCGATCAAACCTGCAAGACACCGTGTGATCTTCTTGATCTGAGCGGAAGCGACCGGTCTGTCCGCGGTCGACATCGGTCGCAACCCTCGGGGCGTCGCGACGTCGCAGGAACTGCAAGAGAGAAGTTCGCGGCAAACAGCCCCTCGGCTGCATTCGTTCGCTGCCGGTGGTTCTTGGTTGGGCAAAACAGGAAGAACCACCTCATGACCGGTGGGAGGAGTGTTCCTCCGGTTTTTCTTTGGTCCGCAAAGGGGGCAGACATCGGTCGGCCAATTGGTCATCCTCCTTTGTGGGAAGAACAGTTGAACATGGCAATGAACGACATTCGATCGTTTTCTTTCAGGTTTTTTCTTTCCAACACTGGACTGGAGTGGTGTCCTCGCTGGAGATGACCCCTGTGGGGTGCCGGGATGTTCTCAAGAAGAATGGATGATCCTGGTATCATGTTTCCTTGAAAAGAAGTTCTAGGAATCAGAAGAATAGCTTGGGTGAGTGTCGACTCTTGTTTCCTCAGAGAGGGTGTTTTCTTTTCATTTTTGTCGAGCACGAAGACGGCACGGCACTCGGTGTTTCAGCTGAACACGTCCGACCCACTTCCCCTCCCTGGTTTCCGTCCGATGGGGCCGTGGATGACATGGCTCACGTCAGCCTCGGAACCCGAGCGACGAAGCGTCCGGCGTCTCTTCACTCCACGGTCACTCCTGGGAGTGTACTGTAAAAACCGGTCGAGTGGGGCAAGCCTATCTGACACGGATTGGGGGGTGGGACGGGTTGGGTCGTTGATGCGCGGAGGGATGGGGGGCAGGTCGTACCAGGCGCCCGAGATGCACGGTTCGGACACGTATGCACCTGGGCAACAGAGGAGGGGGTTTACCTCAGGAGGTGATAGCTTGAGTGAGGTGATAGCTTGAGTGAGATCTTTTGAGCCGAGTTTTAGATTCGTTTGGCTCATCTGTTCTGATTCATTGGATTTTGGTCAGTTTGCTAGTTGGAGTCAATCCTGCCTGGCGATTTCGGTTTTGCTGCGCACATCTCAGGTGGAAGTCGCTTCAAGCCAAGGCCTAGAATAGATTTATCTTGATATCTTGATGGTCTTTCTAGGACAAGGGACCTATGCGCCAGAAGCCCCCGGCATCGGCACATGCAGCTGTAGGCTGTATGAGCCATAGACTTTCCTGGATGTTGTTTTTCTTCAATGTCTTCTTAGGGGCGTGGCTTCTCTAGATTCTCTGGAAGACTTTCACAACATTCACTGGTAGAATTTTTTGTCCATGTGTGCCGTCTTAAGGCTTACAGTAAGACTTTCAGGTGGATCCATGAACCATGTTCTTTGACAAGGATTCTAGCCCAAAGGCCTAACGAGCCACTACTGAATCTAGCTCACATTATATATATGTATATATATATATTCCATACGTGGATATGCATGGACCGGAGTGATTGGGCAAGATTGGGGACTCGTTTTCTGACTCAGAACCCGACTCTGACCATCCGATTGCATCGCGGGGAGGTCCTGCCCATGCGGTCTCATCGTTCTCCCTATCAAAAAACCAGTTGGTTTCCTTTGGTGTTGCACCTACGAAGCAAACTGGACGTTTGGTACATTCTGGTACCCCAAATTCACCCAAATCTGGGTGTTCGACTGTCCGCAGCGGTATACCGGAAGAGAGACTACTGAACTCGGCCCCATGTGGGGC